CCTCATTAAGCTGACTAGACAAGACGGGTATGCAAGACATTTCAGACTAGACTAGACGGATCCTGCGGACATTTCTGACTAGTCATGTCGGCAGTCTTCCTTCATTTTTTGCTTACTTGGGGAAAATAATACAACAACGTACACGTATGATAAGCTCATATATGTTCATAGAAAATATAGACTCTCAAAAAATACAAAGCCAAATATAGAACTATTTTGATGCAAGAAAAAAGAGCATTAGAGAGAACTCTATATTCTTGTGCTATAGAATAATCTTTCAGTATATAGATTATTCTGAGGAATTTCTAGCAAAAAAAAGAAAAGAATAATCTATTCAAAAGAATTTTACTCGATACTTTCGAGAGAGAGAAAGATCTCCTTTTATTCTTATACGTTTTCTCTTCTAGTTAATATTCCTGCTAATGCCACGTGGAAGCAGAACGGAATGACTATTGTTGGAGGTAACGGGGATGGGGATGCCACTAATCAACTCTACTGCCCTCAAGGTCTCTTCGTTGATGATGATCAAACAGTGGTTATTGCTGACTGGAGGAATAATCGTATCATGCAATGGAAGAACGGTGATACAACGAATGGACAAGTTGTTGCTGGTGGTAAAGGCCAAGGAAAGGGATTACATCAATTGGCTTTTCCAACTGATGTTTTAATTGACAAAGAGACGGATAGTCTCATTATTGCTGATGCAGCGAATAAACGAGTTGTACGATGGTCTCGTCGTAGTGGTACAACACCAGGTGAAATACTCATCGACAACATCTCTTGTTATGGATTAGCAATGGATGAACAGAGATATCTCTACGTCTCTGACTACGAAAAACATGAAGTAAGACGATATCAATTGGGCGAGAAGAATGGCACTCTTGTAGCTGGTGGTAATGGAAAAGGTGATGGTCTCAATCAACTCAATTTGCCGACATATCTCGTTGTCGATCGACAACAGAATGTCTATGTATCAGACAACAGCAATCATCGTGTAATGAAATGGAATAAAGGCGCAAAAGAATGTATTGTGGTTGCTGGAGGACAAGGCGCAGGAAGTGCTCTGACACAATTGTGTCGTCCTAATGGAATCTTCGTTGATACAATGGATACACTCTATGTAGCAGACTTGGGGAATCATCGTGTAATGCGTTGGACTCAAGGAGACAAGAAACAAGGCGCTGTAATTGTGGGTGGAAATGGTTCAGGAGCAGGAGAAAATAAGTTCAGCGGCCCCGTTGGTTTGTCTTTCGATCGACATGGTAATCTCTATGTCGCGGATCGTGATAATGCTCGTGTTCAACGATTTTCTATCAAATAAGACGTGTAAATTGGTTTTTCTTTGCTCGTTTCTTTTTCTATACTTTGAAATAAATGAACAAAAAAAAGAAATTTTCTTTTACTCTTTTGCTTCAAAGAAAAGAAAAAAGCTAAAATATAAAATTCCGTCATATGTTTCTTTTCTTCTTCTTCTCTTATTTATTTATTTGTTAAATGAAAAAAAATGAATTGATTGAAATGAAAATTTATTTATTTTTGCTTACCAGCTAATAGTTGCTCGCGCGACCAAGAACTACCTTGGTGGTGCCATAGAGAGCCAAGGCTCTTCACGTACAGACATAGATCTAGCGTGTATAGAACATGCAACAGGAAGATCTATATGCGGCCTGTACGTGCTATGGGCACCAATATAGGCTTGGCCAGTTTCACGCCGATGTATGGAAGGCCTCCGTAGGACGTATTAAATATATACATATATACAAAAGTATACTTACTTTTTTTTGTATTATTAAAATAGAAAATAGAAATAGAAAAAAAATTGAAACTGAAATGAAAATAGAAAGACAATTATAATCAAATAAAAATAAAAATAAATAAATGAGATAAAAAGCTGAGGCAACGAAAATAAAATTAAGCTAATACTTACCTATGATATTGAACCATGGTCAGTAACGAATACAAGCTAAAATAGTTAAAAAATAAAATATACATTTAATAATGTAAGAAGAGAAAGTAAGATGGGGAACGATTTCTAACGCTGAAAATCATTACTATTTATAGTCATTTTTGTTATTCGTAATAATTAGACAATTGGCAAGCAATCAAGATCAAATAAATTTCATTTCTTTTGTAAAATTTAACATTCCGCTCACTACATAAAGTGGTCTTTTGATATTTTTAATTGATTGCTATGCAATCGATCGTAAAGATCACACGCATTCCTAAGAGTGACAAAAATCAAATCTTGTAATGTTGACTAGACCGCTAATTGATCTTGGGGTGTGGGTGTGGATGGGGTGGATGTGGGTGTGAGGGTCTGTGTCTAGTTAATGTTATTTTATACAGTCACCCACGCGATAACTTGGTGAAAAAAAAATAGTAAGATGTCCATCATTTTACGCACTGGTCACAATTGAAAGAAAAATATGAATCACTTATTTGGCGTACTGGCCGTGTAAATGAAGCAATCTTTTGATATGCGAAATTAAGAAGCAGTGAAATTAGAGTCACACTTCATTGACTCAGGTAAGCATTTTATGTTGGAAAAAAAGAAAAAATATGCAACGACTATATATACAACGTCATACCTGTTGTAGACTCACATTAAAAAATACGCATTTTTACATCGACTGGTAGGTACTCTTATTCGATCATTGATATTTTTGCATTAGCCATGTGTTTGATTTTTACAATATAGCAGTGTAGATAATAATGACAGCAAAAATGAGGAAAGATAAACATGCATTTTTGTGTTTAATATGAAGATATTGAAAAAACTGTGATAGAAACTGTTACAGAGGCCCCGCTGTAACTTAAATCAATTCACAAAATAGAAATTTATATTTCTATTTAACCAATCAACAACAAATGTCCTATTTTCGATTCTTAATCTGAATCTTAA